GTTTAGCCCCCAGTGTCAGTTGGTTTGGGGAGAACAGTCCTATGTATTCCGGTTGACTCAGGAAGCCTAGTATAGATGCAGAACTTGAGAAAAAGGCAGGTGAAGAGAAGCTTGAGGTTCTGGGGGTGGTAGTTTCCCTCTACTGAGATCCAGGGTCAGCAGGACATATCTGTCCAGCAGCCAGGAAGGGGACCGACTGGCTTTTCCCAAACACCTAACTGGGCCCCTGCCTGGGGCTGGGGTGGAGTCTATAAACTTGTTGGGTTGAGTTAGTAACAACTTGTAGCCTTGTCTCCTGGAAGAATCCTGGGATTCTGCTCTGCAGCACACCAGGCTGGGCATCTGCTGCTCCCTGTGGCAAGTGCTTGCGAGCATGGGGCAGGGGAAGGCAGTTTTCTCCTTTAGCAGCTGTGAGGGCTGAGGGTCAAGAACCTCTCACCCTGTTTGGGGGTGCTGGTTCTTAGGAATCCTGTACCCTAATGCTCTAGATTTCATCACCCACCACCTTCCCAAGGGAGAGGGGTTCTCTTTCCCCAATAATGCACATCAAGAAACTGAGGTTGAGTACATGCGGACAGTCCAGAGAGGCTCCAATCCTGCGAGAGCCCATGGTCTCTGCAGGTGGACTGTCTACTGCCTCCTGCCTGAGGACCCCAAAGTCCCAGCAATGTCAGCTCCCTTAACTCACGCTTCCAGACCCTCAGAGGTCTGCACCTACCTCTTGGCCCCATTGGCAGAGAGAGAGATGATCTTCCTTACCCATCAAGGTGAGGAGTGATGGGCAGAAGAGAGGAGGAGGGGATCTTCTCCAAAGAGTGTCCTCTCCTAGGGCTGGGGGCTCCCGGGGAGTTGGCACATACCCCTCCTAGAGCCCATGTTCCATGGGGTTCTTCCTGCCAAGTAGCCAGCAGGTGTGCCAGACCCCACCTCTCTGGCATCCCTGCATGTGAGACCAACATTGTTGGGTCTGTTGTGGGTCTGCAAAGGACAGATGGCTTGATGCAGGGACTTCATGCAGGGTGCTTGCTCATGACTAGGGAAACCTAGATCCTGGTTCCTAGCAGGGGACTCAGTGAGAGTGGGGTAAACTGAGGACCCCTCTGCCCCTCACACCCAATGCCATTCAGGGGTCCTTATGCCCTGCTCAGAAATGAGGGAAGAGTATCCCCCCATCTCTCCATGTCTCACGTGACTCACCCTTCCTTTAACATAAATCCCTTATATTAAGGTCAGAATTGGCCACTCTGCACCAACTCTTCAGACAGTCCTTGGAACCAGGGATCTCCGAGAGTTAAGAGAATAGGCTTCAGGATCAGATACACTGGGGTTCAAATGCTGGCTCCTCCATTCAGTAACTGGCTTAATGCATTTGGGCTACTGTAACAAAATACCATAGACTGGGTGGCTTATAAACATCAGAAATTAATTTCTCACAGTTCTGGAAGCTGAGAAGTCCAAGATCAAGGAGCCGGCAGATTCAGTGTCTAGTGAAGTTCTGCTTTCTGGTTTATACATGGCTGACTTTTCAATATAATTTCAGATTGTAGATGGGGCTAGGGAACTCTCTGGGGCCTCTTTCATAAGGGCATTAATTCCATTCATGAGGGGCTCTGTCTTCAGGACCTAATTACCTCCCAAAGTCTTCACCTTTTAATACCATCACATTGATGATTAGATTTCAATATATGAATTTAGAGAGGGGATACCCACATCCAGTCTATAGCAGTAATTATGAAACCTTAACCTATTTCCTTAGCCACCCTGAGCCTCAGTTACCTCATCTGTAAAATGAGAATAATAGTAGTATAGCATTTACATCCCAGGGTTCTTCTGAAGAGTAAGTGACAATATTTGTAAGTAGCTCAGTATGGGGCCTGGCCCATCAGAAGTATTCAGTAATTGGCAGGCACTGTTATTACTGTTATTAGAGGAGGGCAGAGTCATCAGAGAAAGGAGCCCCATCAGAAGTATTCAGTAATTGGCAGGCACTGTTATTACTGTTATTAGAGGAGGGCAGAGTCATCAGAGAAAGGAGCCCCATCAGAAGTATTCAGTAATTGGCAGGCACTGTTATTACTGTTATTAGAGGAGGGCAGAGTCATCAGAGAAAGGAGCCCCATCAGAAGTATTCAGTAATTGGCAGGCACTGTTATTACTGTTATTAGAGGAGGGCAGAGTCATCAGAGAAAGGAGCCCCATCAGAAGTATTCAGTAATTGGCAGGCACTGTTATTACTGTTATTAGAGGAGGGCAGAGTCATCAGAGAAAGGAGCCCCATCAGAAGTATTCAGTAATTGGCAGGCACTGTTATTACTGTTATTAGAGGAGGGCAGAGTCATCAGAGAAAGGAGCCCTGGAAGGAGTAAGCTTGTTAGCAGCGCTCCTGATCCCCAGCAAGCTTTTCAAGTCATGGAGCATAAAGGTGCAGGGAAAGGATGTGTTTGCATTTCTAAACCACAAGTCGATCCTATCTTTCCCCTTTGGCCCTAACCCAGGCTCTCAGCCCAGGCTGTTACAACAGGCCCCAACAGCCACAGGCTGGGAGATCACTGACAAGTGTCTTCCCTGCCCAGTGTGTCCACCCTCATGCCCTCCCAGACCATACTGGTCTGCCAGTGCCCCAGACTGCCAGGTCTCCAAGAACCATTTCCCATGTTGAGATGTCTGTTCTTGCTGCCTTTGTCTGGAGCCAAGTCCTGCCCAATCTGTAGAATGTCAGTGCCTGGACAACTCCCTCATCCAGAAGGCCTATGCCAGCAGCCAAAGCTCTTTAAAGGAGGCTGTGCCTTGTTCCCCCTTTGCCCGCCCCATGCTGAGCATGGCAGCCTGGGAACAGGGCCAGAGGGAGGCACATCAACGCTGGAGGAGACGCTGTCCCCCAGGCTGTTCCTGACACATCCTACACTGTTATTCTGCCCTTTCCTCCTGGGCAGGGCTAAACTGGGCATGGATCAGAGGAAAATGGGGAAGGGGGAGAGTCACACACAGGAATGAATCACTCAGGACTCACTCTGCATGTGCCATCCGTCTCGATGTGCAGGGGGTCATCCAACCTGGTACAGCTGAGACACGTGTAGATGAGACTGGAAGTGTAGAAAATTGACATGTGATGGGCCCGAGAGGTCCCCTAGTCTAGTCTTGTATCCAGTACAGAAACTTACTCTGGCATATCTGACTAACAGTTATTCTTGCATTCCTCCAATGATGGGGGATTCATTACCTCCTTAGTCAGTCTTATTTGGGAGCCCCTGCCTCTCTGAGGCTCCAAACCCCGTTGCAGTTCCTAAGGGTGGGAACCCTAGGGTTTCCTAGACTTACTCCGCACAGGGTGTGGCTGGTACTTGGCTAGTAGACATTCTGGGATACCCAAGCCTAGATTCAAACCAAATTAAATACCAGTTCATTTCTGAAAATTTTCTAATATTCGCACTTTATTGTAGTTCAGCAGTTCAAAAGTACTGCTTGGACCTGTGGTTTTGGGTGGTTTTGGTATATAGGACATTTGTATTAAAAGAAAATAATTCACATATGCATTTGGGAGTCAGTAAAAAATGATTTAGGGTGTTGATTCTAGGTTCAACAACATAATGCTTTGGTTCATGGTTGGTTTCAAATCCTCAGCAACCAACACCCCCTCCCTCATGCAGCACAACCTGCTTCCCATAGCCAGCATTGGCCAGTGCACCTATGTCCCTGGGTAATCTGTGGGGAAAGCCATACGTGTATCCCCTGCCCCCTCCCCCTCAAATGGCCCCCTCATCCTAGGCTCAGCAGTCAGCCTCTTGGGTGGCCACAGGAGGTCAGGATTTGTCTAATAGGGTCAGGCCTACAGTGTTGTCTGGTCAGGGGAAAGAGAGAGAATCCTCTTGGGAAAGACAGAGAGGAGGAGGGGAAGACAGAATAAGGAGAGGAGAACAGAGACTAAATGTAAGTGTGTGTGTTGGGGGCAGGGAGGTCCTGTGGTTGCCGCCCTGGCTTCCACACACCACTCTCCTGGGCACACAGGGCCAGCGTTTCCACCTGGCACCATATCATCCCTGGGGAAGCTGAGGGCATCAGGACTCGCGGTGCAGCCAGACAGGATGCAGACCTGTTCAGGGCTGGCAAGCTCCCTCGGGTCACCTTAGCTCTATATTTGGTGGGAGCCTTAGAGTAAACTGTGCCTAAGCAATAGAGCTCATAATGCAAATGATTTATCCATAAATAACAATGCTATGTCTAAAGAATCAGCAAACAAAAATGATACGTGGCAATAGTGACCTCAATTAATAACTGAACTTCGAGGTGCCCAACAGTGATAAAAAATATCCCTGTCACATAGCTACTGCTTGAAGGTAGCCATTTGGGATCCAGATGTATTGAATTTCCAAACCAGAATTCCCTCAGCACTCAGGCAGCACACAGCCCTCTCTGTGGGCCCAAGCCAAGGACAGCAAAGGTCTTCTCACTTCCTTGTTTGGGGAAGAGACATGCAGGCGGCTCCTTTCCCTCCTCCCCAACATAAAACCCCCTCATACTCCAAAAGAAGCAGGGCAAAGGGCAGCCAGGAGTGAGCCACTCAGAACGGCCATCCTGATCTTAGGCCAGGGCACTGCTGGGGCCAAACAGGGGATGCCCGTTCTGGAACAAAAACACAGGTAGAAGCCACCTGAACGGGCCCCACCCTCTGTTTGGAGGTGCAGCGCTCCTGGAAGCTTTCTCTCTCCCAAGGTCCTAGCATTCCTAGGTCAGAGGATTCAGAGGACTGAGCAAAGTCTGGCAAGGGATTGGAATTCCTTTAAATCCTGCTCTCCTGCCTGCCCAAGGGGGTTACCCCAGGACAGTCTTAGGGGCTTGTCCAGCCGGGACAGAAAGGCCCAGGTGTGAGGTTTTAGGACTTTGGGCTCTCCAAGATGAGCGGGTGGGCGCAGGCAGCACCTCTCTGTCAGGGAGAGTTGGCCTCGGCTGCAGAGCGTGGATCTGCAATACAAATTAATGAGTTAATTATACACAGCCGGCGCTCAGCGGACACTCCAGGTCGGGTCTGTGCGCTGTGACCGAGGGCGGTGGGGCGCGCAGGCAGGTGGCCGCGGGCGCGGCCGACCAGTTGGAGGGAAAGAGTTGGGCAGGGGGGAGCCCCTCGGGCAGAGAGGCTCCTCGGCGCGGCGCCCGCACCCCTCGGCGACTTTTCCCGGGCTCTGTGTTGGCTGTGTCCTACCTGAGGCCACACCCTTAAACTCGCAGCCAGGTGAAGCCGGCGCTGCACAAACATGTCAGCGCCGCCCCTCCTCGTCGTTCCCCGCGCCGAGGTCCCTCCCGCGGAGGGCGGGCCCGGCTCCCGCGGCCTTTCCGAGCGCTCCCGGGCTTCCCTCTCGGCAGGTGGGTACCCCGGAAGGCCGGCGAGCTCTCTCCGGCCAGGGCCGCGACAAGGGGACAGCCTCCCCGCACGCGTTTTCATGCCCGAAGTTCGGGGCTGGCACGCGCCGGGCGGAGGGTCCTTGAGCGCAGGCACGGAGGGCGACCCTGGAGCGGGACCTTCCTCCACGTGTGGCCCGCCCGGCGCAGGGGGATTCGCGTCCCCGAGAGGGCGCAGCACTCGGGCCTGCCCGGAGGGACCCGGTGGCCGCGGCGGGGACAGGGGCCGGCCCCGGAAGCGGTGCTGCGCCCACTGCCCCCTCCTGCCTGTGCACCCCGCGGGGACCCCGCCCCGCCTCCAGCACCTACGAAGGTCGCTCAGTCGGGAGGCGGTTCCCAACTCCCTGGACTCCAGCCAGTCTCAAAATCCGTAGGGACACTTGGAACATTTGTCACAATGTATTTCTGATGTGTTTCTGCCCAGGCCGGCGGAGGACTAGCCCAGGAAGGTCCATGGCCTTTCCTCTCCTCGGTGCTTAAGAAAGCTGCCCACTGAAGGGTGAGGAGTCGCAAGGAGGCGGTGAGTGAGGGGTCTCTAGCCCTAGTGCCTTCTCCAGACGTTTATGAGGGGCGGGCTGGGAGGGACAGTGTACAGGCAGGTGGCCCCCGGGCTGGTTCCCTTATGATACTGTTAAGCAGTGGCAGTGGTCCCTTCTGGGTGCCATTTCTCAATCCTTAGTGGTTACGTGTTAAGTCTTTTCCACCACCTCAGCCCTATGGTAGGTTGATAGGCCCGCATGGTTTCAAACGGCCCGCCCTGCCCCCGGCCCAGCCTCTGATTGACATCAGGTCTAACGCCTGTCTGGGGCAAGGCAGTGTCACCAAGACCAAGTGCCCTGAATTCATGCTTGGGGATGAGGCTCCCAAACAGGAAGGGTGGTAGCAGGCCCAGCGTCTGTGCTGAGCAGGGCAGGCAGGAAGCGGTCCCAGGAGGCTCCTTCAGGAGTCCCAGGCAGAGGTGCCATTCCACACATCCTAGCCTGCCAATTCAGACTCCAAATCTCCAGACCTGCTAAAATCGCTCCAGGTCTTCCCACGCCCAGTGAGTGGCATCTGATCTGGGATGTAGATGCTGCTAGGAACACTAAGGGCCAAGACATGAAGAGTCCCCAGGTGTAGGCTGCATTTTCTGTACTTGCCCTATTCCAGTGTTTTTTTTTTTTTTAGGCTCCTCTTGTTTTTCTAGGGGGCGTGTAGGGGGTGGGCTTATGTCTGTGCTCATTTTTGTGGCTGGTGCAGCATATATAGCTATGCTGTGGGTTCTCCTTCAGCCATGTGTACAACAGTGGCTGAGAACACAACATTTGGAACCAGAAAGAGCTGGGTTCAAATTCTGACTTTGCCTTTGACTTCTTAGGCAAGTTGCTTTACTTCTCTCCCAACTTTTTAATGTCCTCAACTGTAAAATGGGGATGATAATGCCATCCTCAGAGGAGAGTCGTGAGGAGTAACTGTAATGATAAATGTCATTTTTCAGACCTGGCAGTGGGCCATCTCGCCAGCCTCCAGTTGTTAGTATTAGAGAAGGTTAATCTACCCTGAGCCCTGCTCTCTTGGAGAACTTTGGCAGGATATTTTTGGGGGGTATTAGAGTAAAGCAATAGGAATAAAGTAAAGGCAGAGGGTCCATGGAGGGCTTTGGTGGCAGAAACAGCAGCATGTACATGTCACACGTGTTCACATGTTCATGGGTGTTCACATGCTTATGGACACACCGTTCCCACAGGTGCTGCCTGGGGCAGAGGGAGCCTCTGGCTTGAGGTTTCCAATTCCATCTCTGCTCTAAGTGGCCGTGTGATCTAGGATAGGTCATTTGACTTCTCTGGGCCCTGGGCACCACGGTGGGTGCACTTGGAGCTTGGAGTTGGAGAGATCTGGCTTTGAATCCCAGCTCCACACTTGGACAATCGCATATCTCCAAGCCTCAGTTTCTTCATCTGTAAAGTAGAGCTCATAATATCTACCATTAACCATTAGATGCGCTAATATGAAGCACCTAATACAGTATCTGACATGTGGTAGGCCTGCACATGTATGTTCTCTCTCATCTCCTGCTTTCTCTCCCCAGCTACCTGCTGTCTTTAAAATGGGCCCAGTAAAGCAGGTTCAGCCCATCTCAACAGAACAGATATGAGAAGTTAAGGCAACTTTGTGATTAGGGACTGCAGAAATTCTTTCTGGCTAGGCATTGAGGACTCTGTGCTGAGGATTCAGACCTATGTGTATGGAGGCTCTTGAAAATTTGGAATAGTGAGAAGGTCCCTGGCCTGCAGTCCTCTCAGGAAGGCCATTTTCAGGTCTTCCCTTGGAGATAACCCCATGCCCAGGAAAGCCCAGTGCTGTGTACCTGAGGGTGATAAACAGAGGCTGAGATTCTGGGTACAATAAGCAGAGGTTGGAGGGCTGGTCTGGCTTGAGCTGCTGCTGGACTGCAGCACTATCCATGCCGGCTGGAGCTGGGCCCCAGAGACAGGCCTGAGTCAATACTGACCTTCCTCAGCGAGCCAGCCTGGCTCTTTTGGCCTCTCATTCAGCTAGAGTGTTGACATAAGCGACTGAAGGAGCTTTATTATTGTATTCTTTTAAACAGCAGCCCATTATCTCTCCCCTGGGTACTCACTAGGGCCTGTTGTGTGGGAATAGTGGCCAGGGTGGGGAGCCCAGACATTTTGGCTTGTTACATGCACAGTGCCCTCTGCCCTGGCACATGCCGCATCTCTTTGGGTCACTCGAGTGGAACAGAAGAACCTCAGGGGACTTTTCACACTTCAGCACAGTGGCCCTGGGCAGGTCTTACAAAGCCTGCAGGTGATGGGGATGAGGGCCACAGCCTGGGTCTAGGACCTTTCTCCCCTGCAGATGACAACTGCTTAGAAAAGCAGATGAGGGGCCGGCCCATGGCTCACTCGGGAGAGTGTGGTGCTGATAACACCAAGGCCACGGG